GCTACCCTCTCTTGGATCGAATCCTCCTGCAGGACGGAGCATGTCGGCCGTCTCTGTTACGGATAATGCCCGCCCCTCAGACTTAGTCGCACCGGAAATATCATATCATGTGCCTCAACCAGCTGTACCAGGACGGGTGCAGTCATCGTTGTTGAGACCTCACGGTCCTTCTGCGCTGCCTCCTCGGCTGGACAGACGACCAGCGCCACCCGTTGTCACGCCTGTTCCGCCACCTAAGCCGCCCACCCTGCCCGTGAACGACCGCGGGCCACCCCGAGCAGACCGCAACATCGATAAGGTCGTGTTGGGGGACCTTTGTTTCCGTACTTGGTATCCCAGCTACTACGGAAAGGAAATCTTGGGTGACACGTCTGGCAATTCCAGGAACGGCGGTGGTAGCAAGGACGGGAGCAACGAGGCGAGCAGTAAGGCCTCCAAGAGGGACAAGGATAACCAGCCAATGCTAGAGAGGTTATACGTCTGTCCTAGCTGCTTCAAATATGCGAAGGAGCTGGTGGCATGGCGTGGACATGTACGGGTTTGCGAACGAAAGGCATTTATTCCGGGCAAGAAGATCTACAGGCATCCTCGCGGGCGAAGAAAAGTTTTGGTTGCCTTTGAAGGCAAGGGTCCTGGCCCCAAGCGACGACGTGGTGACAGCGGTATACGGTACACGGAAGAGATAGTTCATGACGAGGGGGAATGGAGCATTTGGGAGGTTGATGGCGAGAAACACGGTGTGAGTCGCCTACAGGAAATGGATGGCTCCTTGATTTCTTTTCTTTCCTTTTCTTCTCTATCCCCCCCTTGCCTTCCGTCTCATTGCTTGGACTAAATCAGCCCCCCTTGACTAACAATATTGCTTTGATAGCTCTTTTGCCAGAATTTGTCCTTGTTTGCCAAGTTGTTCCTGGATAACAAGTCGGTATTCTTCGATGTCACCGGCTTCAACTACTTTCTGCTCGTCTATACACCACCCGCTAGCCCGGTCGCTCCCGAAACCGAACCCATACAGACTCGCCCACCACAAGTCTGTGGCTTCTTTTCAAAGGAGAAGATGTCATGGGACAACAATAATTTAGCCTGTATCTTAGTCTTCCCGCCCTGGCAACGCAAGGGACTTGGGGCGTTGCTGATGGGTGCATCGTACGAAATTTCGAGACGAGAGGGTATACTTGGTGGTCCAGAAAAACCCATTTCCGACCTGGGCAAAAAGGGCTACAAAAGATTTTGGTCTGGCGAGATTGCCCGATGGTTGTTGAGCCTGGAGAGCACGGCGCCGCAGCCGCAGCCGCAGTCACCTCAGGTTGCTGGCGGTCCAGTGATCACTCAGGAGTTGATTGTAGACGTCAATGACTGCAGTCGTGATACGTGGATAGCTGCTGAAGACTGTTTGGGTGTTCTACGTGACATGGGCGTGCTTGAAGACGCAGGAATGGGATTCGGCAAGCCGGAGAAGAAGGCAGACGCCGCCGCTGAGGAAGACGAATCTCGAGAGCTGCTGCCGGAGGGTGGTGATGGCGCGGCTCATAAGCAACAGGATCTGGTGTCAAGGTCGGCGGAAGAGAAAAGGTCTCTTTCTGTCAAGGTCGTGCCTCGAGTGCGAATAGACAAGGAAGTCGTGAGGCGGTATGTGGCAACGCATCGTATCAGTCTCGAGCGGACGTGCGATCCGGACGGGTTCGTGCAGGGGTATGCAATGAAGGTGGATAGCAGCGGGAATGACGGTGACAAGACGGGAGTTGAGACAGCGTAACTTGGTTTTTGTTCTGGGGATCAACCGCCTGCAAAGTATGTGCAGCGTTGGGACGGGTGTTTTGGGGTGATTTTTTTTTCAGGAGATACCCTATAGCAGTAGATACTTTTGGAAGCATAATGTCAATTGAACGACTGGATGTTGTGTATGCGACCCCAACCGCGGTCGGGCGTGATTTCGCCAAGTCGTGCTTGCTGGGGTCGATTTGACGGATTGATATCTGCTTTGTGTTGCTGCCAATTGCATTTCTGTCGCGACGAACCGTTCTCTGCAGACGTGACGACGAAGCTAGCTGTCCCCATAAGGAAACAAGCTTGCATGTCAAGAGCCGGCGTTGGGGATTACCTATGGCAAAGACAAATAACATTCATTGGTGCACACCATCATGGCGCCAGTTCCGCCACGGAGAACCGACGTCCACAAGTCTTGATGCCTTGGTATAATTGCAACGATACACTGCTAATTGGTATTCATGAGCGCCTTGGCCTTTTTGTGCCTGGCGCGGGAAAGAACCAAAGTCACGTTTTGAAATTCTCACATGGGACCCGTTGGGGCTTGACATATCGGGTTAGATGCGGCGCTGGACTGTTGAGTGAATTGTGGTAGTACCCGTTGATTAACTTGCCAACGGGTCTGGTAGTGTAACTCGATCCGCCCGAGAAATTCTCGTCGGCGAGTAATTGCACACCCCCCGCCGACTAGGCTCGTGGTGGAAGCCCAGCCGAACACTGAGGCTTCTACTCGGTACTCTGCAGTAGTACTCCGTACCTAGGCATTTATTGCTGGGTGATGAACGTACAATCACTACTGCGGCAGCTTATGTATGCCGTACATAATAATAGGGGCTTGGTTGGCAGTGGAATAAGGAGAGACAGGGACAATCTGCGCAAAAATGCCAGGAGGCATAGCGCCCGGCTGCCCTGCCACTTTGAAGCTCGAACAGTCTGGTGAACCGTGAGTTCAATGAGTTCAATGAGTCCCTGGCTGTCTGGTGGTACTTGCAGGCTACCGACTGCATCAATCATGCAGTGTCACAGTGGCACGCACAAGCTCCAAGTGAACAGTGCGAGCATCAGTTATCAGGGCCATCGTGGTGTCTCTGGCCAAGCTCACACGCTGAGACAACTTCGTGGTGTTTCTCATGACTTGTCCATGTCCATATACCACAAAGACACTGCACTTGGGAAGCTGCAGTCTACTGTTCTCTGGACAGGCACCATTTTGCATCCTCGGCTTGCGGCTCTGGCCGGCTGCAGCTAGGGCTTCTAGCACCAGTTGACCTCTTGCCCCCGAATGCCAAATAAGTCAGGGCCCGTTGTCACTGCCAATCTTGGAAGGGAAGTGTTTTTTTGCACTCCCTTGTTTGTTTTGGCGCGCTGCGGGTAGTGCAATAATAGAAGAGTCTGCTGGACGGGAGGGCAAGCAAAAAGCAAAACACGGCGGGCTATTTCAGGGTCCCGCCACCAATAGTATATCACCTCAGTTGAGATCGACTGTGGAGACGACAAGGGCAAGCCATGGCCAAGGCCGTTTGGACGAGATGAGCGAATACCACCCATTGCTCTCCGACGCTGCTGTTCAACTCCAGGTACAAACGTCTTCCGAATTTCCCATCGTAGTCCAGCGAGAGCTCCCTAATGTTGCAGTGGGTCGCTCTAAGCATTCACTGCATAATAACCAGATCATCACCCCCCGACTTTTGGCCATCTAGGTGCTCGTCCGTAGGGGATGTAGTCGTCGGCTTCTCGAGACGAAGATATATTCGTGATGCGAAAACCTGCAGCGTATTGCACTTGAGGAAGAGCAAATCGAGTCGAATTTGACAACATCTTTCGATTAGGGGTGGATTGTACTCGGTAGTCGACTTCTTCCCGATATCGATGGTTCTTGGGCAGGCCGCTTCTCGCTGGGTGATATGTATCTGGCTGAGCCGGTTCGGCAAAGCCAGGTTTCTTCTTGTTGCATGCCCGGCTAATCTGTCCCAGGGTGCATGGCACTCTTTATATCTTTTTTTCCTTGCATTAGATTGGCCCCATGAATCATGTGCGCCGGGCGTTTCCCTCAACATGAGAGCGTGTCCCATTGTTTATCGTCCTCATTCTCCTATCCGCTTTGCTTTCGTTCCTTCAGGCGTAAACACCATCCACGGCGGGCGTGTCCACCCACCCCTTACGGTCAGATGTGAATACCTAATACTAGTTATTCGCCGAGCTGTCTTTCCATAACCGAGCTCATTCTCTACCCATGCTTGAAATCCACACATGTGGGCACGCACGATCCACCCACGTGTCAGGCGCAGTCGCTGGAGGCTTGTTGAGAGTTTCGAGCCTTGCTGGTAGTACTCCGTACACCCATGGCATTCCGTCAACGGCAGCCAACAAGTGGGCCACACCCTGTCGCAACTTGCACAGCTGTGGGGCCTAATTGTAGCCTCATTGCCTCGTCCCATCCAGATCCGGGACTTGTGATCAAAGCTTATCAATTTGATATCGCGCTCTTTTTTTTTCATGCCTCAGACAACTACAGCCCTGATATCCACTGTACAATTTTTACCCACTCCCCTTTTCCGAGGACACGTCTTTCCAACGTAACTGGGATTGTATTATCGAATTGCCATATTAAGTCGTGTGTGTCGTATGTTCGAAATAAACGTAACTCCAGCCGTAGGAGTTGTATTGGCGTCGGCGAAAGCAACCGTCCTTGTATTTGGAATTTGCGGTTTCGATAAAGAGGTCTTCTTTGCTCCCAAGCATAAGCCAATTGTTCATGATTCATGGCCCACCAATGTAAGTGCGCAAAGAGCAACAAACACCTCAGGCCCTGAAACTCCGTTTCGCTCGTTTCGCTCATCCATAACTCGTAACCCCCGTCATCATTTCTTCTGGCGTACCCACCCGGCTTCCCCCGAGAGGCTACCAACCAACCGCCGTGAAAAGCCTCCATTCTCCATCAAGATTCGCACCCATCGACCGTAGCTGCTGCTGTGAAAATCTCGCTGCCTCATATTCCAGCACCTCCGAACCTGCGTCAATTCTCCCCGTTGCCCCGGCTGACTCTCGAACCCCCTTTGGCCCCATCTCCCCCAGGTGGAACCTTTTTCTCCTCGCTTTCCCAGCTCCAACCCTTCTCTCTCTTCCCTTTTCTTCCCTCAGCTCTGCTCTCGCCTAGTCCTTCTACACCTTTGTTCTCAACCTCACCAGCCAACTCCCACCCTCAAACAACCACTCCCCTCACATCCATCACAATGGCCTCCCGTGTCTTTGCTTCTCGTCTGGCTACCCAGATGGCCACCAAGGCTGCTCGCCCTGCCATCCGAGCCCCGGTTGCCGCTGCTTCCAAGCGCACCATCACTGGTAAGCGCCTGTCCAGAGGGAAAATTTTTTTGGCCCCAACCAGCCCAATGAATATGCGCAATATCGAGTTGTCAGGAAGCCAATTGCCGAGTTCACCATGCTAATGATGACAATTAAGGCTCTGCCAGCCCCCTTCAGACCCTCAAGCGCCAGCAGGCCACCACCCTCCTCCAGGCCACCTCCCGAAGTGCTTTCCAGGTCCAGCGCCGTGCTTACTCCTCTGAGATCGCCCAGGCCATGGTTGAGGTATCCAAGAACCTGGGTATGGGCTCTGCCGCCATTGGTCTGACTGGTGCCGGTATTGGTATCGGTCTCGTTTTCGCCGCTCTCCTGAACGGTGTTGCCCGTAACCCTGCCCTCCGTGGCCAGCTTTTCTCTTACGCCATTTTGGGTTTTGCTTTCGTCGAAGCCATTGGTCTTTTCGACCTCATGGTTGCCCTCATGGCCAAGTTCGTACGTAATCACCGAAAATACTGCAGTAACCATAATTTGTGTAGCATGAAACTGACCGCAAAATCCAGACTTAAACATTTTCTCATTCAATTGAGAAAGCTCCTGCCGGGTGATGGAGCTGTAATATCAGAAGGTGAATTTTGTATGACATCATGCAAAGTTTATGGGCGGCCGGTCATAGCAGCGTGAGCTGCCAACCGATAAGGAGAAGAAAAGGGGGGGGGAAACTGCATTATAGAGGACATAGAATTGGGAGCGGCGTCGAAGCAAAGGGATGCCGTCTTTGTGATAGAGCTGGGATAATTATCCGGCATATTCCTCCCAGGAATCGACTTGTAAAATAAAAAGCCTCATTTACCTCGATTCTTCGACGAATGAAGAGTTTTTTCCCTTTTGTTAAACAATACATTTAACATTTCTTGACGAGCGAGCTACAGACGATACGTTAATATGAACTCTGGTGCCAGTGCTGTCATTGTCGCAATTGCATTGTGAATATGCCAAAGTGAATGCTCTGACTCTGAACGCCATCGTCTGATCGATCACTCAATATCTGGGGAAGTGTGTCCGGGATTGCTTCTAATGCTCAGCTCTGGACTCCATACCTGGCATTGGCCCCGTCGGTCTGAGGGCTTTGCCGAGGTGACCGTCAATTGGTGCAGGGCGGCAAACAACGACTATCCCAATGTGTCCTTTCGTCAAACCTGCTCACGCGTGATCAGATGTGGGCGGAACTTTCCCTCGTACCCTGTGGGAACGTGGTGCAACCGAGTCCTGCCCACACGGTGCCAACTTTCGTACCCGCTTCCCTTGCACTGGACCGCGACCAGTTATCAATCGCACGAGCCATAGCAGAGGAGCATGAGTGGACCTGGAGCAGCGGAATGGCTGAAAGCACGTTTCAAGGGTCGTTGTTAGGAATCACATATATAAGCTGAACCCCGGTTCTGAAAGTGATAATTTGACGCTCCACGGGGCCTGCAAAAGCAATGTCATACCGGTGCTTATAATGGTCGTCGATTCGCGGTTCTTGTTTATGTATCCTGGCATGATTTGGAACATTCTGAATGCTCTTTGGGATAGGAAATCTGGCTCTGTGTTCTGATGATGGCTGACGTGTTGCCTAGCCCTCCTATGCTCGACGACCGAAGACCCAGACTCCTGCTGTGGTTTGACGGCTGCGGTTTGTGGATACGGTAGGATCATGTCCCGGATCAAGCTGAATTAAGTTGGCGCCTTTGAGTATGCCTCATCGACGAGGTAATGGACACACCCGCGAGATAGAAACGTAACATGACCGAGTTATCGTTTCAAATCCCAGTGGTCGGGCCTGTGAGTCTTCGTGTTAGTTACACTGGGCGTGGAAAGCAAGTGTTTCCATGAATTGCCGCAGTGGTACAGCGCAGATGGATACTCTATCGGCCAACTCGAGCTGGACGTAACTCGGCGAGCATGTCATTTGTTATGACGGCCGATGTATCGCATATATGGTGGCCCAATTTGGTGTCCCATACCCGAAACTTCCGAGTACGATGGCGAGTGACGGCAAGAGCTGACCGGAAACTTGGATATGAAGCCAAATTGGAGGCAAACTTCATTTGAAAAACTCAGGGCGGTTTAAACCTTCCAGCTGCTCTGCCCGTCATCTTGCTTGCTCCAGTTAGTCAGTCACAATACTTCAGTGGACGATGCAGCGTCAGACTCACCACTTCAAAAAGTTCGGGGTGGAGATGCCATCGTGCTTCATCGTGGAGAGGGAGACCCACGTATCCCTTCAGTGGCTTTGGCTCTGCCCACAGATGTTTGATGCCTTTCTGATGGCATTGGAGAGGTCAATGGAGCTGCGAAGTAGGAGAACCGACGGCATTGCAATTGTGAGCCAGGAAATTAGGCTGTTGTCTGCGAGAGACACGTCCCCCTCACTTCCCCCTCACAGTTGCATCACATGACCTGCAACTACCCCGAAAATGCCAGGCACAGGTGCACGAACACGGCAGTGGCTGGCTTAGGCGCCATTGCAATCTGGGGTACGGAGTCGTCGGAGCGATTTCGTTAGAATTGCTGGCTTTGGATCCGGAGGGCTACATTAGCAGACAGTGGTGTTGGTGACCGTATTGGGGCTGGAGGTTTGACAGGAGAGTGAAGAAGGATGAAGCTTCGGGACTCAACAAACACACGGGAGATGGCATGCCATGTTTGAGGGAGGCGTGGTTGATCGTATGATTGTCTACGGAAAGGGCAACCTGCATGCAACATCAATTGATTGAGCCAGCCAGGCCCCTTTTGCGTTACATACTTAACTACATTGCTTGACTTGCCAGGCGGCCTTCTTCCCGTCCCGCTCATTGTCTTTAATAGTCGAACTGCCCGCACTTCTCTTGCTCTTCTTGGCCCCGATTTCCGTACAGACGGCCACGTCCCACCAAGCTTGGAAGTATCGTATCGTATCGTCATTCCACTCTCCACTTTCCAACTCTCCGACCGCTCCTTGCCTTCAAAATGTGATATTGATGCGACGTCTAGAATGCTAAGCACCAGTGATGCATTAGGCGTGCATGTTGGCGATAACTTTAGACTTGGCTGGGATACGAGATGCTCTGTGGCTGTACGTGCAAGACATAGGCGGATGACGCTTGTCGTGGAAATCTAGGGATGTACCGACTTGTACCGCGGACGACAATACCAACAACAGCGGCGACGACGAGTGTCTGTCTCCATCGAACGGCTAGATGGCCTTCTCTTCAAGCAGCATAATTTGTCTTCAAATACACCCGACGTCGATGATGCACGAAATTGATTTGTGGAAGCATGTTGCAATTAATCCAATGGTACCACACTCAACATCCATTCTCACCAAGGAATACTCCGTATATAAAATTATGCTACCGGTGTGAGTCACCGGCACAAACTACCTACCTAGGGTATATTTTGCTCCACGCAGTCAGTGGCTGAGGCGCGATAGCCTTCGCCGGCGCGCGCTGCGATGAATCACCATTCGGCTAGTGCGTCTGACGCATCGTAATGCGTGTACTCATGGTGCCTTGCGTGGTTAGTTACGGTTCCCTGGCCTATGTACGGCCAAAATACGGTGTTACTAGATGCCCTCCATCTAGCCCCTTTTTTTCAGTTTTTAAATAATTTAATAAAAAAAAATACGCTGCAACAATTTATGCTCATTTGCAAATTGTTCATACTTCATGCCGGCTACTTCTTAAACGTAGCACTCCTTTCTCCCCTAATAGGCGGCATTTTTCTTGCGCCCTTAATCTCATTATCACCCGTCTTGGAATATGGATCAAACACCTTCTGCTCCTTCTTCCCGCCCTGCTGGGCTTGTCCGCGATTGGCGTGCATAACGGATGGGGCCTTGGTGTAATCAAACGGCACAGCATTGTACTTCTTCTTTTGTTCTTCTTTGCCTTGTCGACGTTTTTCTTGCTTTTTTGCTTTTCTCGCAAGTTTGGCTTCTCGTTTCTTGGCGATTTCGAGATCCTCTTGTTTTTTTTTCTGGCGGCGCTCTAGCTGGCGTTGCTTCTTGGTCTTTTTGGGTGGATTGTCCACTATGGATATGACGCCGTTGGAATCTGAAATAGACATGTCTTCCTCGATTGCTGGTGGCTCTGGCTTTGGCTCTTGCTCAGATTCAGATTCAGATTCTGATTCAGATTCAGATTCCGATTCGCTAGAAGATGACGTCTCGTCGTCTTGATCTGGCTCCGACTTAGGTTTCCGCTTTCTGCCTGTCCTTAGAGTGAACTCTTCGTCAGGCTCGTCTACCTGAGCTCTGAGTTTGGGTGTTTCCGTCGTTGAGGGAACTTCTCCCATGACTTGACGGGTAGTATCTTCCTCCTGTGCTCCATCAACGGTAGCAGAATCCTGGACAAATCGCTGCCAAGGGAAAGGTATATTGCCATCCATATGTGTTGGCGATCCCTTCGATTCTTCCCACCGCGAACTTATAGGCATGCTTCCGAAGAGCTTGGACTGAGCCATCGTCCCTATTGAGACATCGGGCACTTCCGGGATGGGCAGTTCCACACGCTCTAGAGCAAATTTGGGTACCTTGCTCTTAATTGTTGACTCCGGTGCTAGGGTTGTAAAGAATTGCATTAAGCTTGGTCCGCCGAGGGTCTTGGCCTCTTGAACCCGGGCCCAGATATCATTCAGGCGCGCTCTGGCCAGAGGCGCTGTCAGAGGCAACAGACTGTGCAGAGCCTTGACATCAGGAGGATTGACGCGTGCAATTTCAGTGACGTTGGTTGCCCCCAGCACGAAGTTGGGGCTTTCGTCTTCTTGCCGCGCCGTTTCGTCTCTCCACTTCCATAATGCTTTGAAGATGGAAAACTGCTCCCCATTCAAGGCGAGGTGAGAGTGTTTAAACACGTAATTGTACCATCCTCTAGCTCCCTCACCTGTCGTCTCGTTGTAGTCGGGGTTTTCGTGCCGTGATAGCGCCAATTCTCTTGATCTTTCCAAAGCCTGGTTGATGTAGTCCTTTTCCGGGTCGCTTTTGTCCGAAGCTTCGATAAGCTCGTTGCGGACATTATCAAAGATGTAAAGAAGATAGTGCGTGTCTGACCGAGCGTAGTACAGCATCTCTTCTGGGATGGGCCTGCAAGGCGTCAGTGCTATGGTTTTCATGTACATTCTGGTCTGATGATATTTATCCTACCGTATTCTCCAGTCAGCCAGCTGGTACTGCTTGTCGGCATCAAAGCCGACAAATTTCGAGAGCAAAAATGCCAAACTTTTGCCTGGATAGTTGAGAAGATCACAGGCAAAGTAGGTATCGAAAAGACCATTTACGTAAAGACCCAGGTCCCGTTGTAGCCAAACCATGTCCATGTACGCACCATGGAAGACCTGAAGAAGAGTCAGTGGGGGGGGGAAGGGTTCTCAGTTTGTTGCTAGAAATGGAAACTCGGAAATCCCACCTTGACGATACTGGGGTTGGCGAAAACGTCGTTGAGGACCTCAAGCTTGTGACGCCATGGCTGCAGCGTATCTACAATCCAGTCCTGATCCCGAGTGCTAACTTGCATCAGGCAAACAAGACCCGTGTATGTGCGGAAATCGTGATGTTCCAAGTCGACCGCAATCTCCTTGGCCTTCCTGAGTTCCTGTAACATTTCAAGAACTCCTTCATAGGTGTCTACCCATGTAGCTTTCGTTGAATCTGGCGGCTGTGAGGGCATGGGATCGCGCTTTTGGAATACCCACTCTGGGTATTTCATATTTGAAATTTCTGTTTCGTAAGGGTGCTTATACCTGTGATGGCATGTTAGTCATAAGGCAGTGTAGATAAGAGAAAATGTAGACGCACTGGGCTGTGCCATCTTCACCTGGAGCAGTGAGGAGACTCTGTTCTAATGAAACGGTAGCGTGCGGCTTGTTGGCGAGAATTGGTTTCCAAGGACCGGTAGGAAAGTTGTCGGGTTTCTTCTCGAACATGGCCTGGGGCTTGGTGATATTTGCATTTCGGACAAGCTTGCCGGTAGGCTTTGTCTTTTTTGCCTTGGGGCCCTGCAGGAGACATATCAGCCGAGTTCAGGCGGCTTACATGCAAGTTATATACATGTATATGCATTCCTGCGCATGTGCAGTGGCTCACTTACAGTATCCGAGCTGGGAGGTTCTTTTCGCTTAATCAAGCCAGTGTATTCGTCCATGGCAGTATCAGCCTTTTCAAGAACGGAATCCACCACGTCCACAATAGACTGCCAACTCATGTCAATGTCCTCTGAATCTTCGAGTCTCGGAGCCTTGACACCGCACGCCTTGGCTGCAGATTGAAGTAGACGTGTGGAAAGATGCAGCATGCGTGCCGACCTGTCGTCGAGTTGTTCCGCAGCATCGGGGTTTACGGTTCGCTGGAAGCTTAGATCCTCAGCGGCTATGCGATTGACGGATTTGACTGTGGACACGAGGGACTTTTGAATGCCCTCTTGTTGGGACTTGAAGTCCTGAGGCGCCTCCATGATGGCGGTTCGTGTTTTGGCCAAGGTAGACGCGGCGTTGTCGACTCGACCGCAACATTTGAAGGAACAATCAAAATTTGGGGTCGTAGAGCATTAGGCGCATTATCGATAAGACGCACTTTACTGGTTTCATGCGCCCCACAGCGCGAGATCCGGAGCCGTGCCATATTATGCAAGCGCTGAGACGGACCGCAAAGGCAAGTCGAGCATCTCTCCATCTTAACATTCCAAGGCTGAATTTTTTTTTTTCAAAACACAAGCCCAGCTATATACAGAAATATAGCAGCAAAACTAAAATTAATATCAAAATTCTACAAGGCTCATCGGGCTAATTGACCAGACGAGTAGTCCGCTGCAGAAGTTACTTTCAGCGTAACCAGCCACGTTGCTTCAGCTTACTTGGATGGCTTAGGTACATAACGCAGCTGGCTCTCACGCAACATACCATAACATTATGCAGTATATCATCGCCTAGTGTTGGATGTGGGAAACCTTCCTTTACCAGGAACTCTAGGTTGGAATGTGCATTCTTGGTTGCGCACATGGGACAAGACTGTCCTCACATACTCCGAGTTCTCACCGCCATTGATCCAGGGCAGGTCGGGACATCTGATTCCTGAAATATAATCGTGTACTTCTAAAAAAATGTGGTGGTTTTCAGTGTGTTGTGGCCCGGGCAGTGACGATTTTTTAAGCCGAAAATCAAACTTGCATAACAAAAGCATATAGAGAACCAGTTTCGCATTGAGCATCTCATTGGTCGAAAGACTTTGATGTACGATTCTTATGATATGGTGACTTTGACTCCCTTTGAATCAATCGGCGGCATAGCGAATAGTAGACCATGAATAGCAGCAATAACATCCCTCGGCATTGTGTCGTATAGTGTGAGGTTCGGCATACCAGGCCGGAGATGTGAGCAACTGTATGGAATATTTGCATGTATACAAGGCTATATCCAGATATATCAGGATTTGGGTTACATCATTACAACAAGCCCAAGCTGTCCCTGAGGCGTTTATGATCACCGCAGACGAGCTTCTTTGGTGCCCATGGAGGCGATGGAAGTTATGACTTACTTTTGGCCAAGACAAGCCCTGCTGCCTTTTTCAAATGGAACAAAGTACGCTCGCATCGCTGTCAACTCTTCCGGTGAATTATTAATCCATCGATCCGGCTCAAATGACTCTGGATTTGGGAATACGACTGGATCATTGTGCATCCAGTAAGTGGACATGGAGATTGGTGTCTGCCATAACATTTAGGTATTTGCTATTTTGAGAAAGTTGCCGAGGCGCAAACAAAAGGACACACTCACTCCCTTGGGTAGCAGCCAAGCGCACACCTCGTTGTCATCATGTGGGAACACGCGAGGCGTGCGATTCATGCCACCTGGCACCGATGGCCATTCTATCATGACGAGAGTTAGCATTCGGAAATATGGGAGATTAGACAGTCAGGTATTTCAGATCACCAAAGACCCTCGTCCACACATGCGCTCAGATACGGCGCCTTCTCCAACTCGACCCAGGATGGTTGACCTTTGTTGCCGTCATATCGCGCCCAAATCACCCCAAGCTCTTTTCTCAAAGGCTCTAGTTTCTTCTGGCCGAGAAGCAAGTACACAATCACAGTACTGAGCGTGTGTGACACGTTGAAAGAGCCTGCTTGTTGAATAAGATGAGCGAGACGAGCAAACACGCCATTGCCCAACTCCCTCTCTACGAGGTCGCTGTTCACTAGGTGGCCGAGTACCGTGGTCTCATTTCGATTTTCGCCTCATCAGAAGGGCGCTTGCGAGTAAGAATGATCTGACGACGGGCTTTCTGCACATGGCATTAGCCACGCGACTACCGCGAGGACTTTGGTAATAGTCCTATTACGAAGGCTGTCACTATGCATGAAATGCATTACCTCGTCCCAAACAGTCCAGCTAGTTGCGCGAAAGCCCATCCGCCGTATAATTGGTCTTCTAATCCACCTGTTGTACTTTAGCGATCCGTATCTTGGGCAGCTAGCAAAAGTTGTGCTCAACAAACCTAAGAATTGAATAGCGGTGCATTCAACGTACCAATCTTAAGGATCTCATACCACTGCTCGTTAAAACTGGCATCACCAAGGTATTCACTTGGCTCCTCGAAAATGACGGACGATATAATGTCCGTTGTGAGTGAACTGAGAGCATTGCTCAAGCTTACCACCTCCTGGCTGATAGCTCCTGAGCCTATCACACAGTCTCCGGACACGGTAAACGACACGTGGCTCGATGCGCAAGATACCGTATCGTGCACAAGAGCTTGTCAAGGGGAGCACGAAGTCGTCAGTCAGCGTCGTGGCCGGTGGACATCGCAGTCATATCTAGAGCTGTAATCAGAACGGGAGATCTTGCGATGAACCTTGTTTTATGCAGCAGCATAGGGTCGGTCACCTTCAAACCCGGTACCATCGCTGAACCTCGGATAAGCGTCTGTTTACGTACCGCACCAGTTACGAAAAGTTTGTGGTAGGCTGAAGGATCCAGGACCTGGACTTCTTCTGGTGTAACTCGTACAACGGGTCCTACGGCACCAACATTTAGTCAAGTCTGTCGAGTTCAAAAACGTGGCAAGGGGACATACCGAATCTGCAATGCATCTCACGGATCTTCTCGTAGTACATGCCCGTACATACAGAGTGGTAGTAAAACTCATACCAATGTGTAACCTTGGCGAGGAATGGGCCTGGAAATGCGGCTATAGGACTGAAGTAGAGACGATAGATGGCGAATAGCAGCGCATAGACGAGAGCACCTGCGGAAAATAGTAGTAAAAACAGAGGCCAGGGTGCAAATTCTGTGTACGAAGTGATTCGAAGGTAACAGTCTAAAGTAGTTAGTGGATATGATCCCAACCATCACGGGACACAGGGATGGCAGCTGTAGGAAGCCGTCCATCATGATGACTCGAGGTAGTCAACCTGGCCAAAGAGACGCTCTGGGCATATACGGAGTTGTATAAAGTTGAGCTTCATATACTCCGTGTAGATGTTGGAGCGGACTATAACTGCCTACATGGTATGCCCTCGGGATGTTACAGAACGAGAGGTAGTACCAGCTCTACGGACCATTGACCGACCCAACATTAAGACCGCTACCTGAGGCTTCATATGCAGAGAAATAGGGGTTAGTTACACTGCTGCTCTTTGAAAATTCCTGCGACCGGGTCGGCTGGAAAGACTACCGAATTCCCAACGAGTCATAGCTGGGCTCCTGCCATGTAGTTGTCGTACTGCTTCAACACCAACGATAACGGTTTGACTATTCCATAAGCCTACCCAGGTTCTTCTGCTCTGGAACAGAGTGTGATGGGGATAACCTTGGCGAAGTCTTGTTTGTCCATATTGCTGCAGCTAGAGGTTATTGTGCACCTCTAATACGAAACAGGTTCGTTAGGTCGTGTTATTCCCACGCATAGTCTCAGATTGCTGTTGACGGTACATGCGCTAGCAAATTAGCGCCGTTTCATCTACTTGGCAATTGATGCCGGACTCTTATCGTAAGGATGATGTCGAGATGACTGTTCGACAAAGCTCACTTAACCCTTCACTGTTCAGCAACTTGAGGAGCTTTATATCCGTTGCGGCCCCACCAAGCCTCGTCTTGGTTAGGCGCGGTGGCCACCGACCAACGACACGTCTGGAACTGCTCCGTACCTTGACGTAATATTGGAAGGACATGGACCAAGCTCGACCCATCCAACGCTCCTTCCTTAATCCAGACGTCACACCCCCTCCAGATGTCACAACAAAGAGAGACGGGGAGCACCAGGGCTTCAAACCTCTGCCCGCCATCCATTCTATAAAATAGCCTCTGGCGCTCTGTTTGCACGAAACCACCCCCAGTGCTACTCCAATAGCCCATAATCGACGCATCTTGCACATACACACTGCACAGCTATACAGAATCCTCGAACAGCCAGCAATGACTGCAGACACCAGTGTCGCAGATGGCCTTGCGCCAGAAGTCCACGGCCGACTCCTCCTCCTCTCGAACCGTCTCCCCATCACCATCAAGCGCTCCGATGACGGCAGTTACACATTCTCCATGTCCTCTGGCGGCCTGGTCACGGGCCTTAGCGGCCTCAGCAAGACCACTAGCTTCCAGTGGTACGGATGGCCAGGTCTCGAGGTGCCTGACAATGAAGTCGCCGACATGAAGCGGCGCCTGAAGGACGAATACGGCGCGCACCCGGTTTTCATCGATGACGAGCTCGCTGATAGACATTACAACGGATTTTCAAGTTTGTTCTCCTCCCCCAGAAACCTTTCCCTTTCCCGTCTACAACGAACAGGAGCAGGTCCAAAGAGAAAAAAAAAATTTACAACCACACTAACATCGCACCCATTCCATCAGACTCCATCCTTTGGCCCCTCTTCCACTACCACCCCGGCGAAATCACCTTTGATGAATCCGCATGGGCAGCCTACCAAGAAGTAAACCATCTCTTCGCCCAGACCGTCATCAAGGACGTTCAAGATGGCGACCTCATCTGGGTCCACGACTACCACCTCATGCTCCTGCCGCAGATGCTGCGGGAAGAAATCGCCAAGACCAACAAGAAGGTCAAGATTGGCTTCTTCCTGCACACGCCGTTTCCTAGCAGCGAAATCTACCGCATCTTGCCCGTTCGCGAACCTCTGCTCCGCGGCCTGCTGGACTGCGACCTGATCGGGTTCCACACGTACGACTATGCGCGTCATTTCCTGAGCAGCTGCTCCCGCATCTTGGGCACGCATACCACGCCCAATGGCGTTGACTGGAACGGACGCTTCGTCACCATTGGTGCGTTCCCCATAGGCATCGACCCGGACAAATTTGTCGAAGGGCTTAAGAAGCCGTCTGTGCAGGAACGCATCGCGACTCTGAATCGCAAATTCGAAGGCGTAAAGTTGATTGTCGGCGTCGACAGACTAGATTACATCAAGGGAGTGCCGCAGAAGTTGCACGCCTTGGAAGTATTCCTTACCGAACACCCTGAATGGATCGGCAAGATTGTTCTCGTCCAGGTCGCCGTGCCCTCGCGCCAAGACGTGGAAGAGTATCAAAATCTCCGCGCCGTGGTCAACGAGCTCGTCGGCCGCATCAACGGCAAATTCGGCACCATTGAATTCATGCCCATCCATTTCCTCCACCAGTCCGTCTCCTTTGACGAACTAACCGCCCTCTACGCTGTATCGGATGTATGCCTCGTCTCCTCGACTCGCGATGGCATGAACCTCGTCTCATACGAATACATTGCCACGCAGCAAGAGCGCCACGGCGTCATGATTCTCTCCGAGTTCACCGGCGCCGCACAGTCTCTCAACGGGAGTCTCGTCGTCAATCCATGGAACACGGAGGAACTGGCCAATGCCATCCATGACGCCGTCACCATGAGCCCTGAGCAGCGGGCGGCGAATTATAAGAAACTAGAGCGCTATGTCTTCAAGTACACCAGCGCATGGTGGGGAACCAGCTTTGTGTCTGAAATGACTCGCCTTGATTCGAACAACGCCCAGCCCAAGACGTTGCGGAACGTGTCTGGCGCTGTTGTTGGGCCGGGCCAGGATGAAGATGAGGCTATTTCTCCTATGCAGAATAACCCATGAGCCCTCATCGTGTCTTGGTTCTCGTTGGGGTATTTTAGTCGTTGGGCGTGATTAGACTTTCATCTAAAACTTATAAATGTCAAATGGACGGGATGCGAACGAGGCGGGGAAGGGGGAAAAAGAAAGCCAAGAGTCATTTAGCAATATAGCGAATGGAGTCACGGACTAGCATTTAATAGTTGTTTTCTTTTGTTCTTCAACTTTAATTCGTGCGTGCTGCTATCTAACTAACTACCTGGGATGAAGAGTCGTTATACCCCGCGACGTGACGACGAAAGGAAAACCCCCCAACATTTATTTCCCACAATGAATCCCAAGACACGATAAAAAGGTTACAGACACAACCACAAAATAGGAGCAGCTTGGATGAAAAGTCCTGCAAATTTGCAGTTCATGGTATCAAAGGAAAAAAAAAGGCATAGCTTCATAAATAGACAAGTGGAATTCGGCCGCGCGTACACCTCGAAACACATCCCTCACCAGCCACAAATTACTTAATAAGGCGAATTCACGATATCGTCTCTTCCCAACTTGTACCTCCCGCTCTGACTATTGCTAATCCGTCCTGAGCTGCGCCGACCACCGCTCAAACGTAAATCGCCCATGATACTCTCTCGGGTGGGCTTGCGTAGGCTCTGCTTAGCCACCATGTTGACTTCGTTGGGCAGCGCTACAATGACGTTCTTGTCGGACCCAAACTTGAAGTCGTCCGCCTTGACTTCATCCTGGTAGCGCTTGATCTTGTAAGGAGTCTTTACGCCGCGAAGGAGTTTCTTGAGATCCCACTCGACGATATAAGGACCTGTAGCAGTGATGATGCTCTTCTCTTCAGCGCCCTCTCCAGCGTTGAACTTGGCCGGTGTAAACGATACAGGCTTTCCCGTTTCGTGGTAAACCTGCGCAACGTGCTCTGGGGTTAGCGCAAGACGGCGAGGACGGGGCTTGGAGTCGGCTGCGAAACCCTTCTCAAAACCGAGCTTGCCATCATTCTTGCCACCCTTCTGTTGAGCATCGACCAGCAAGATGTAGTTCTTGGTAGTTCCCAGGATCCATCGACCATCGGCAGAAACATCCATACCAATGATGGGATCACCTAGAGCAGGAAGCTGCGCCTTGGCGCGAATTCCAAGGCGGTCAAACAGGCGAATATCGCCCTTGTTGCTTGCCACGGCAATGTATCCCTTCTCGGTGGTAGCCAAAGCTGAGAAGTCATTCTTGGAAGCATATTGCTTCATATCAGTGTCCACAAGCTTGTTGCCAGACAGACGAGGATCGACACGGTACAGAGCATTGCTGGACACACCAAGGAAGGTCTGCTCCGAAGTCATCTGAGCAAACTTATTCTCTGGAGCAAATGTGACAACGGGAATATCATCGTGGACTTTCCACTCGTCAACGACCTTGCCGTATTCAATATCCATACGGTACAGTTTGTTGGCATCGACGCCATTTTGTATGATGAGATCGCGATCTTCGCTGTGCAACATGACCTTCTTGGGGCTCATGAGCTTACCGCTTGGGGTGGTAACCTTGGAAATGTTGGTGTTAAATTTGAGACGGTTGTCGGCCGTATGAGAAAAGACGCCAATCTTGGAACCGCGAACGACAAATGAGCGGTCATGCTTGTAACCCACCGCCAGTTGTGAGTTGATGTCACCACTGGATTTCTCCTCGTCTGCTTCCTCCTCCTCTTCAGATTCGTAATCGTCGCTTCGGATGCCTGCGTCTTCCTCTTCCTCATGCTCCTCCTCCGCCTCTTCTTCTTCGGCTTCTTCCAGCGGCGGCGCATCTTCCATGTTTAGGTCGCCAAAGGCATCAAGCACGTATTCACGCTCCTTTTCTTGCACTTTGGCCCATTTAGTCTCATTGAGCCTCTCCCAGATGGCTTGCATGATTGCCTCTTGGAACTTTTCCAGAGTAGGCTGATCCTTGAATCGGAGAAGCCAGGACCTGGCGGTGCCATCGCTGCTGAAGTGGTTGAAGACGAATGAGAGATACTCAAAATCAAACACAGGGTTGAACTCGGGCACGACCGAGGTACCGACCCATGATTTTTCCTTGCTTTCGATTTGGAGCCAATATTGCCATTGGCCAACCTCTGAAACGGTAGCAATCACGGAGTCATCAATGAGTTCAAAGTGACCCGGCTGTGGATCGAAGAGATGGAGCTCGGCGGGTAGCGATGCGTAGATCTCAAGAGGTTCCGGCGCAGAGTCAGGTTCAGGTGCGTTGGACGATCCGCTGCCCTTGGTTTCCGGCCCTACCTCCGGGTCGAGCTCCGGCTCCGGCTCCGGCTCCGGTAGCGAGGCAGCAGCGGCGACAGCCAGAGGTTCCCTCTTGGCGCCCGTGTTAGCAGCAGTCTTGGCGTACATGTCGTCGACAGACTCAATAGACCGGGTAAGCACGGGGCTGTGAAGTGGACTGGCAGGAGGAATGGGGTTTTCGTCGTGAAACTCGAACTGCTGATAATCCTCGTCAGAAGCAGTGGTATGCGGCTTGCGGTACTTGCGTTCGTATTGACACTGCTTGGCAACTTGAACAAACTGTTCAACTTGGGCGGAGGGCACCTGAGTGTCGCAAACGAATTCGTAGAGGTCGCCGTTGTCGCCGCTCAAGTCTCTCCAAGCAAAGACAGTTTCACCACCCTCTCTGCTTTCGACTCGGAACCGAAGAGCTTCGTCCAGCAGGAATGTCTTCTCGTCACGTTCGGCGGCAAGAGCGTCAATCTCAGCGTCTTCGCCTTCTTCGTCGGCAATAAGTTCAGCCTCGCCTTCCTCAAAAACCCGCTGGACGACAAGTTGGTAGTGGAAATCCTGGTTGGTTCGACGGATACGAATGGCCGAGTCCTTGAAAATAAGCTCGGAATAGCCCTTGGGCGACAGCGGTCGAACGAGATAAAGCTGACCCTGGGGCAGCTCGATAAGCGCTTCTTGAGTGCCGGAGCCGAAGATCAGCTTGCCAACTGTGGGGAAAGAGGGACTCTGTTAGCTTTGGGGAGAACTGGTAGCCTTGGCAACGGAACGAGGAAGAGTCTTCGCCGAGCGAGCAAAAGCAGGAGAAAGACTGTCGAAGCGGGATAGATTTTCAAGTCATTGTCAAGTTTCCCCCGCTTTATGACAGGCCCGGGGGCTAAGATAGGTGTGTGCGTGTGTGCTTGTGTGGTAGAGGAGGGAGGGGAGTACATAAGCAGGACACAGGAGGGCACCCAAAAAAAAAAAAAAAAAAAAAAAA